CTGAAATTTTGTACAGTAATTAAAAACCCGACAAATTTTCTATCTATTAACTCAAAATATGATTACAGCTTTTAAATTTTGTGCGCGAGCCATTTTTAGTTTGTTGGAAAAGACACCCCCCCTGGTTCACAAAATTTGAGATCAAGAAATTTTTTTCAGTATTTTACATTATAAGTACCCAAAGAAGCTATATATATAAAAAACCAGACACAAATAGGTATTTTGCAAAATTGAGAGCAATTTCAAGTCTGTTCAGTTTTTTTTTATACACCCTGCATAACTCATTATTAGTCAACGTTTATTCACAAATCTACATGGTCCTTCATCGTGCGTATTGTCTTTTTGCCCAAATAACCAATAGCAATGTTTTAGATGACTGGAACAATAGGGTAAATTGGAATTGATATTCGTGGATTTGGCAAAAACATAATACACACATGACGGTGAAGGAACATGTTTATGAATAAACGATATCTAACATTGATTATTAGTTATCTTGTTATTCTAATGAGCTTCCAAATCATCTATTCTATTAACTATGGTTGGGAAAACATTAAGAAAAGTTAACCAAGATTGCGTGATTGCCAAATCTCATGCACTCTCGTCCTCGTTTGATCTGGGCTTAAGACAGCTTACTGTTTTTACTAATAATTTAGATTTCGGTTGTGCATATATCGAAAAAATGCAGAAATTCAGACGTCTTCAATCCTCGTATTTGAAATCCAATCCATTCTTCAACATCGTAGCGTATTGAATTTTGTAGCACCGTTAATTAATCATCAAAATGAATGGCATAAACATCCAGGTAGATTACTAAATGTACAATGTTTTCGATAAGCAAGTGTTCAAGGATATCATATATGTTTCCAGGAGCCCAACTTTCAGGTGATCCCTATTTCCTGTGGCCGTGGATTCGTTTCTGTCGGAATTGTACGATATTTAAAAAATGACGTAAATACCTTCACACTGTGTTCCATTGCCAGAATATCCACTGTTGCAAGTACAATCATAAGATCCATCATTGTTTGAACAAGTAGCGTCTCCGTCACAATTGTTTACACCTGCACATTCATTCACGTCTAAAAAACATTTAAAAAGAGTCAGTGCTTGTCAACTTTTTCTTCTCGAGATTAGTTTCAACTCAATGTAATCACTCTCGCTAGAGTATATAAAGACTAAACTAAGACTATCATTAAGAGGAAAAATAAAATTACATTTTTCTTCCAGAAATACGAAATACTAAATCTTAAAATAACCATAACTTATTATAACGTTTCGCAGCGATCAACTATAGCCTCGTTTCAATGGTAAATGATCTTGGTGAATAACTTTGTGGGAAAGGATTAATTTTCATTTATTTACTTTAAGTTTGTTTCATTTTATAAGATTGTAATATAAAATATAATGGAAAACTAATTTATTCGCCAGTTTTTCAATCGGCCTATGCATTTAGTTTAAATCAGTAACCATCAGTAAACATCTAGTTTTAGGATCATCCTCAGAGATATAGCCTAAAAACTATTTTCCTGTTTCTGAAAATGCAGAGAAAATAATAAAAAAATCGTTATCTTGAGTTGGTTTCGGACTCTTATATTTGGTTTCTACGTATATTAACATATGTACTATACGTTTTCGATAAACAAGTACAGTATTCAAAGATATCGCATATAATCCCATGCCCGGCAGCCCCCACTTCATCTGATCGCTACTTCCTGGGAATTTTTATTTCTATCGGAATCAGTTTCCAGTATTTAAAAATGACGTAGTTACCTGGACACTGTCTTCCATTACCAGAATATCCAGCGTTACATTTACAATCAAAAGATCCTACTGTGTTTGAACACATAGCGTTTCTGTCACAATCGTGTCCACTTGAACATTCATTCACGTCTGGAAAAAAAACAACATTTAAATCAACCAGTGCGAGGTTAATATCAACTCATGTTATCACTGCTGCCTCGCTAGAATAAACAAAGACTAAACTAAGATTAAAGTAGGACGTAACAATTCACATTCTCTCTCTTAGAAAAAATCCTAAAATTATCTGAACTTATGACAAAATTTCGCAAAGGCTGACCTGCTTAGTTTTAATGCATTTTGCATATATTCCATAGTATGTTAATGGAATGGTCTATTCATATTTTTTAAACTTTAAGTTATAGTTGAACGGTTTTATACGAATTAATTAATTTTTCTGTCATTTTCTGAATCGGCCTGTGCTTTAGTTACTCAACAGCGAATAGAGTTTTCTACTCTGTCACTATACATTGATTGGCGTTCCGTGAAGATTATGGTGGTCATTTATATTATGCAGGATAAATTGTTTTCTAATACTCCATTCATGGTAGAAAAGCTACACCATATAAAAGCACCTAACACGGTTTGTAAACCAGTGGATTTTTTAAGGATTCTTCAGTGGTGGGGAAAACCGGCGAAAGGGCCCATTCTCTCATTGCCCTAACCCCCCCCCCCCCCCGAGGATAGTGTGCAATCGCCGAAGGTGTGAGCCGAGTATCGCGGGTACGTGTTAGCTAGGGGGTCTGCGGCATCTCCCTCCAGGAAATTTTAAAAATTTGGTCTCTGAAACTAGCATTTCCTGCATTCTGACAACACATTTTAAAAAAATCTCAGCTTTTTAAAACAAATTTTAATTTTAATGGTGACATTTGTAATAATTTGATGGTAAACATTCAAACACAACATAAGCTTAAGTATAATCACCAACAAATTTTGTTTTTTAAACTTCTTTTCAATATTAAACAAACTCATTTACTCAAAACAGGTCTTAGGGCCCTGTCTTTGGGGCAATACAGTAGGTCATTTTTTTTCTTCAGTGTTGGGGCAGAGCAAGGGGCCCAGTGGGGCAAATGCTCCACCTGCAGTCCATGGTATTAAAAATGCCTTGTTGTAAACAGTTTGATTTAAAAGGTATACAAACGGTGATAGGTGCTTGTACGTACTGCATAATAAAACAAGACGAACATAAGGTTTCACGATTTTGCTTTTCAAATCCACATGCATATTGGACGACATTAAACCAAGCACACTATACTATATATGCGAATTCCCATGTGAACAAATAGCACTGGACAACTTTTTGCATGTATACGGTTCTGAATTCGTCTGATCTCCTGTTAATTTAGGCTTATAAGCTACCTGTACAATCAAAACCATCCCCAGCATATCCTGTATTACACAGACATGAATAAGCTCCGAGTGAATCCTTGCAGTTGGCATTGTCGTGGCAAACATCGTCATACACTTCACATTCGTTAACACCTAAAATAGAAGAAATAATTTAGCTTCAAGAGATTGTGCATTATACGCATTTACGAAATAATTGTAAAGATGTAAAGATTGGTGCTATTACAGCTTCTCAAATATACCGAAACTGAAAAGTTTTAATAACCACACAAATGCAGTGTCTAACTAATTGCGAAATGATGGTTTTAGCTCGATACAACCTTCTACGGCCGTTTGCAAAACACAATGTCAATAATAAATTGACATTAAAACTCTCACCATGCAGTGTTGACCCAGATCATATTGTCATTTATTAGAGCGATGTTTTGTATTGTAACTATTGTAGTCGGAAAAAGACGTATGTCGTTGGGGGGGGGGGGAAGGATGTAGGAATTTCATGTTTAATATTTTTAAATTTATTTTTGCCAATCGATCTTGCCCTCTCACTTTCAATTAAGTGAATACACGAATCACTGAACTGGCGCGGGCTGGGTAATTAGGCGGAATAGCCTTGCAACTGACGCGCGTTTTTCCAGCTTTAGAACTACAGTATTTATACAGTATTGGGCCACTAGAACACACCTGTACAAGATATATTGACAAATTGGTTGATGATGTTCACGAGATTTGCAAATGTATCAACCTCCAAAATATTTTCTTCAATGGAGTTAGTTAGATTCAACAACTGATCTCTTGGAACCTGTTGGCCAACAGCAATGGCCATGACCGTAATATCTTGAGATTGGAGTCTTCTTGCAATATGTGCCAGTGGTTCTGCTGGTACTCCTGGTCCCATTGTTTGTGCACCATCTGTTAGGACGACTGCAATCTATAAAAAAAGCCATCATAAATGACCCGGCGTGAAAGCGGTTTTACTTAGTACAATCAGGGACGCCGGAACAAAGGGGGGCAAACGCACACCAAATTGAAGGACACCTCTATAGACTCCGGTGAAGATATAAACCTGCAATAATGTGTTGACTTGCCAATATATGAAAGCAAACGCACTTAATCAGGTCACATTCAAGATCACACCTCGTGATTTTGCCCAAAAAGCATCACTGGAAATGTGATTTATCAGGTAGTATTTTATAACTCAAAGGGCACTTCTGCCTCCCCCCCCTTGCCCCTCCTAGCAAAAGTCAAGAGGGGAAGCTACCCCTCCTGCCCCCAAGTTCCGGCGTCCCTGAGTATACTCGATTTTTCTTATGCCATATGAAATATTTTGTCTTAACATTTGTTTAAATAAATCTCTTATCTAAATTTTGTAGGTGTTTTAAATTACGAGTTTGCAAACTAAATCCAGAAAGTCGAATCTTTTTAATTCCTTTAAGGCCCTGACGCCTTGTCACACTATTGGATATCGTACTAGCGTATGATACGCTGGTGGTACGTTAGGTATAGGTTATATTTACGTTTCAAGCACTGTCGCATACGCTGGCATACGGCAAAGCCCGGCGAGACAGAAATATTTCAATCTAAGCATGCTTAAAAAATTTGTGCGCATTCGGAAGTATGGTTTTTACGATAAGTATACTCTAGACACACGCTAGCTAAAATACGCTAGAGGGCTAGAGGTACACCTGTTGTACGGTACTCATACGCTGGCATTTCAAGGGATTTTTGTAATTTTGTGCGTATAAAAATTATTTCATTAATTTACATGCGCTTCTCATATGATTCTCTCATACGCAATAGTGTGACAGGGCCTTAATACGCAATAGTGTGACAGAACCGTTACCCTCGGTTTTATCCGCTGTTAGTGTCACTACTTTCGTGGGCCGCTACTTAGGGGAGGGCGTTGTTTTCTGGTGGTAAATAACATGCTGTGGAAGCATCTTTGTCCATTCATATTTATCACAATATTTTGCTTTATTTTTAAAATATCTATAGCTTTGGTTCGTTGACACAAGTCATTCATTCTGAGGCCAAGTCAAGTCACTAGTCATTCTTTTTGTTCGAGTCCAAATCAAGTCACAAGTCATTTATTTTGTTCGAGTCCATTTCAAGTCACAAGTCATTCATTTTTGTTCGATCGAGTCCATTTCAAGTCACAAGTAATTCATTTTTTGTTTGATCGAGTCCAAGTCATGCCACAAGCATTTTTTTTTGTTCTATAACAAACATACTTGCAGGAAGGTAGGTCCTGGATTGGACGCATCGAGGGTGGCTGGAAGTTTCCCGAACTCACCAACCGCAGGGAAGTGGGTCCGGGATTGGACGCACCGAGGGTGGCTGGAAGTTTCCCGAACCGACCTCGCTTCGCTCGGTGAGTTCGGGAAACTTCCAGCCATGACCCTCGGTGCGTCCAATCCCGGACTCACCTCCCTGCAAGTATATTTGTTATAAAGTCACATGACACCAATCCAAGTCACGTGATTCGAGTCGACGACTTTGTTAGATAGTCACATCTGATTAACCAAGTAGCTCAATTGTCACAAGGATCTCTTCGGTGAATAACCTGGCATCCGATATCAAAGCTGATATTAATGTCTGGTATTTTCATACAAAATGGTCGAAACTGATGTTTTGCAATATCTAACTTCGCATTCCAAGCATCCACCATTGCCTGAAGATCACCTTAAAATGCTAGGCGATTGGTAGCTGATGACAAGAGCCAAACAGCTACCTTTTTAAGTCCTGGGCCGGTTGTTCAAAGGTGGGTTTAGGTTTGTTCATTTCTGCACATCTGTTTATTTCCACACTTCAGAGAAGTAAACTCCTATTGATCCAGATGTCCGAAGAAATATTTCCAAATTTATAAACAAGCTGTTAGGAAGTTTGCCTTGAATTTTAGGTTAACCTAGATTTGAGCTAATCGGCTTTCTAACAACCGGCCCCAGGAACCTATCAGTGTCTAAATATAATTAAAATGATAGGTTACCTTTCGTATATCAGAATCAGTTCTCATGCCATTGGCTGCTGTAAAAACATCTGTTTCAGCCAGAAGCAATGCAAGATCGATCCTTGTCAAGCCACCATTTTTGGGGAAATTAGCGAACCGATTTACAAGATTGCGTCGAGTCAAGTTTGCGCCAGTGACGGTGTCAAAACGCATGAATATTTCCGCAGTGTTTCCAAATGATATTGCAGCGATATGATTTCCGGTTGGACTTATTTCCATTCTACCGATAGTTTCAGTCATAAATTGCTTGACTTGATCGAAATCATTTGCATTGATTGAATTAGAAGTGTCAACGATAAAGGCAAGGTCCAACTTGAATGGGCAGAAAACTAGAAAAAACACATTGATATTTAGAGTCATAATGGGTTAAAGTAGGAAATCGAATTTCGCTAATCAGTGGATCACATGATCAAGATTGAGACATGTTGGCAGGTAAAATGGAAATGAAATCTCCCTTCATACCCTCAAAAATACAATGTAAAAATATTAACTATCTCTCAGATTTCACTACGAATCTGCGACATGAACTGAGCGTTTTGATTGAGTCTAAGGGGCTGATTACATGGACAGGGCCAGCCCGGTCAACCGGGCTGAAATGTGTCACGAAAATCTTTCTTGGGCCGCAAAATGAGTTTTGAATCAGGTTTAGGATGATTTTGCGTCTAATCTAAACCAATTATTTATCGCAAATTTATTCTACACGAGTTTTAAAACCACATGAAGGTCCTAAACAAACGAGTCAGCCCGGTTAACCAGGCCAGCCCGGCACCATGTAATCAGCCCCTAAACCTCTTGAAATATTCCTGAATTTCATAAAATGTTTGTAACATGTGCAGCCCAATAGTAGCAATATCAATAAATATTGTGAAACACTATCAAATAGTTACACTGTCATTGCCAGGGGTAATAACTCTTTTTAGTATCTTTGCACAAGTGGATATGACAAATCCTACAAGCTGATTGGTCAAATTTGATGCATTAAGCTGTTATATTACCTACAGGTGAATATAACAAAACCGAAATTTTCAAAATTGCGGCCATAGCCGTTTTGTGGACGTTACTGATAAAGAAATGAGCGAAATTTTAAAAAAATCAGTCCCACTGAAAAACACAAAAGAACAGAACTGTAAAAATACTAAAACAATTATTCGCCTCAGGCTCGGTGATTATCAGGTAATATTGACCTCGACTTCGTCTCGGCGAATATTCCCCCATAATCACCGAGCCTAAGGCAAATAATTGTTAAATATGTGAAAACCTGATCAATGCAGACGACCAGATATTACCAATCAATACGATTAATTTAGCAAGAATCATGCATAATGAGCTATTTAGTTCATGTTGCCTTCTTTATCAGTGAATGTCAAATTATTAAAATCTAGTTAAACCAAAATTGATATTTTTAAAGTTCACGAGTTCACGATAGGTTTGACATGAGTCATGTTTTTACTCGAAACTTAGAAACGTGGCATAATAAAAAAATCATAGTCTTTGAAAGTAAGATGAAGATGACTTCAGGAGTATCTCCACTATGTTTGCAGATGACGACATCCCTGGACGAACGTCGAAACGTTGGGTCGTGAATGAAATTCGACCGGAATTTGCATTATTTTACTTAGTGTTAGTTTTCTTGGTTACTTTACTAATTTTGGAAAGTTCTTAGTTGATTAGATCATGACGACAAAGTTAGGTTGACGACAAAGTTAGGTTGACAAGAATGTTTGCTAAGTCGATACACAGCCGGGAACCTGATTAAAATGTACCGCATTATGGTTATTAAACTCCATTTTACTGTGGGTGATTAGCTTAGATAATTAGGATGTCTGCGAAAATATGTAATAAAATGTTTTAAACTTAA